CAATGCCGCGCAGCATTTGCGCAGCTCGCATGGTAATTGCTAATTGGTTGCTCATCGCAGTTGCGTTATGCCTAACGGACTGGACACACACACAGTGAGAGAAAGGAGGAGGGAGGCGGGATGGCGTTTCAAAGAGGGAAAAGAGATACGCCAGTACATTGGCCCCTTCACATATGGAGACTCGTAGACTCTGAGGCACGCAGACTCGCAGTGAAATCGTCAACGAGATGGCGTGTATTGAGAAATAAATAAGTAAGTAGGGCTTGCTGGCAGAGAAAAAGAGGAAAATCACAAGATGAGTAACAACAGCGGGCTGAAAAGAAAATGAACCGTATCTCTTATTGTTGCAAATTGTAAACTGTGTTTTTGCTGTTCATGTTGTGATTTCGATTTATGCGAAAATCGAAAGTGTCTGCGGCAAAACAAAGCTAAATACAAAGCCAAGTTCAGTGGGCTCCGTGAAAAACGTAAAATTTCCACAAACAAAAGCATCGATATATATATAAAACCAGTTTGAACTTTGAATATATTTTTTGAGTAAGGTTATGGCCTCCTGTTCAAAGAGTTTCTTTAGCAGGGCAAACCTCTGACAAATATGTATTAAGGTTGGTTCCGTTCCGTAACCGTTGTCATTCCCCTCTTTGTCTTCAGATTTTCATTATTAATTCAAAGCACTCGACTTTGAAGCTCAGGTAATTACTCACAAAAATCCCATTGAGCCCACAAAGACCCTCTAAAAGGCCGCAACGCTATCAAATAACTTGCGCGCCCCATAAAAAAAACCAACACAAAAAACTTTCACTTTCTTCAGAAATTATATACACATATATATAAATACATTTTTTTTTTTTTCCAAAATATGTTTTGGAGAAATGTGCTAAATACCTATATAACCCAGTGCCAGTCTCTCTCGATTATGCAGCCGTCTTATCATCATTATTATTATTTTTGTTTTTGTTTCTTTATTTACTTTTGTTTTGTTGCTATTAAATAACGGTGCAGTCGTCACGCTGCTTCTCAAAGCATTTTCTTGGTTTATAATTATGAAGAGCCAGTGAAAAGGAAAGTGATTTCCGTGGTGTGGGGATGCTCAACATAATGTGCCTCTCCTTAACTAGAAATGCATTCTGTAGTGTAGCATTAATTTTATTTTCACATATTATGAAATCACATACATACATACTTATGATATTCGTATTCAGATCGACAAAAGTAAACATTCCACAAGAGAAGGTTATTGCTGTACATTAAGAATTCTACCGAAAAAAATATAAATGTATATTTATATATTTATGAACGTAAAAATTTAAAATTATTCTGTTATCCCTATTATATTGTTCAAATGTTCAAAATATTATTTGTATACCAAAAAAGGTTTATCTAGAAATTCTAAAAAAAAATATATAATAATATCATAGTATAATTTTCAACTTTTACGGAAATCGCAAACAAATAAACTTGTTTTATACAGTTAAATGAAAAAAAAAAAAAAAAAAAAACCTACCGCATTTATTTAAACCGAAAAAGTGTTATATTTTAAGAAGCATTGATGTCTACGATTCTGCAAAGTCGCAGCAGATAATTGATAATTGAAACTCACAACTCAGCCCAGTTGTGTAAAAATATACATATAAGGGATAGATTATGTAAAATAGCATCAATAATATTTAATTTGAATTCTCACCTATGAATCTAATAAGCTTATTAAAGATGTAAGAGTCAAACAGTCTAACGTGTCAGTAATGCATAAAAACTTATAAGTGGTTTGTATAATGAGGTTAAACGACTCAAGCTTAAAGTTTTTATTTAAGAGTACACAGGCGGAATAGCATTAGTCCCCATCAGACATTCTTTATATATTTGATATTTGACTCACGTATTGTAGACTTTATACTCTACAATCTATAGTCTACACTCTGCAATTTACAGTATAAAAACAAGTAAGAGTGCTCGACCAGAAGATACCCTAAACCCTCTAAGCTGATATTCTAATCATTCTGCACTTCTTCTATGTAAAAATACAAACACATGCATCTACACGCACGCATAAGCCCGCGCTCGGCTAAGTGCGCAGTAAGCAGCGACTGCGCTTGGGCTGCTCTGCAGTGTGGGCAATACTATGAGAATTTACTTGTTGAACAGTTTCTCTTGCAGTGGGACTATCTTCATGAAACTTTTAGAACGTGATCATAATATTCAAATGTATGTATATTCCGAAGCACAAGTCTCTAGTACTTAAAATACAAATTGGGGGCGAAGGGCCGAAATCTGTAAATTACAAAATCTTTGTATTCATCAAATATATACATATATACGCAGTAATTCTTAAGTCTCTAGGTCTAATAGTATTTCTATTGAAACAGCACAGCAAAAAACAGAAAAAACCAAATTAATTTATCGATTATTCTCGATAAAAACGTTATCGGATGAGTTATCGAAAAAATAGGATAAATTTGCAAAATTGCAGCTCTCTAACTGATATCCTCTGAGATCGGTTTGCTCATACGGAGAAACGTGCGGACGTACGGATGGACAGACAGACGGACAGGGCTATATCGGCTCAGCTTGTCGTTCCGATCAAGAATATATATGCTTTATGGGGTCTGCGATGCCTCCTTCTGGCTGTTACATAATTTTTCCATAAAAACATTATACCCTGATTTCCCATTTTCAATGGGAATAAATGTTAGCATACATTTGTAATTCCAATAATTTACAGTAAGAATATATATGGGTTTTGTTCTACTAAGTAATATCTGGGTTTTGTTCCTATAAAAATATGTAAAGCATAGAGGACGTGGAAAAGCTTACAAGCTTTCACGGCTTTCTAGTTATTGGCTTAAAAATACCCTGTAATAGATCCTTATCCCCCTCGTTTATAGATTGTCGAAATTTTTTTTGGGTGGACAATTCCTTAAAAGATCGGATGGTTGAGTTAGTGCAAACTCCTTGTCGACGTATATTCAAACGTGTCTTGAAGGAGTCTTATGCAGTCAGTAGCTGTCGACTGTAATAGATTGATCTATATCAGATTGATTTCAGTTAGCATTAGCTAATTATGCAGGCGGCCACTGAAAGAGAAGTAACACACGGCTGATATAGAAAGAGAAACAGAAACGGAAAAATGAAAACAGAAAATAAATCGAGAGACAGACGGCAACTGACCGAAATGCCAAAGGCGGCTAAAACAAATGAAAGCGCTGCGTAACCAGGCCCGAAGACGTCTTGCGTATGCTTTGTACGCTGCATGACAAACGGCACTTGGCTGGCAGAGCACCGTGCGAGTGCGAGCGAGAGGGCGCGAGGAAGCTTTAGAATGTCAAGCCAAACAATACGGTTGTTTGACAGCCAAAGAAGAAAAGTGAAACAGTTGCAGCAGCAGCTACGATAGCTTCGCGACGCCAGTGCCTCTGCCGCTGTTAGCGTCGCCGTCGACGTCGACGTCGGTATACCGTAATTCAGATTTTGCAAGGCGTCGCCAGCGCTAAAAAGTTTCGGCACGACAGCTGCGCATGCGTGTGGCTGGGACGGCAGGCATTGGCCAAGTGAAACGCGGGAACGTGTTTTGGTTTTATTACTTCTTTTTTGATTTTTTGTTTTTACTTATTCGGACCATGTTTTATTTTGTTGCACTGAAAAAATGTGTATCAAACGCAACTGGTTTGCGCTTTGATTGGGGTTCACGCTTGCAGAAGTGGCTTACTTAAATTTGGTATTTTACCTGAGACAAATTGAATTGAAGTCAATTTGATAATTGAATGCCGTGAGCTTTCGTCGCTTTTCGTTCTCGTTCTCGTTCCTCAGGCTTTGTTTTTCTTCCCTTCTTTTTTTTCCTTGGTTAGCCCCCGCTTGGGTATTTATAAACTGGTGTGTGCCATAATACGCGAATCTCTTTTGTCGTCTGGCCTTATTTATTTTCATTTACATTTCGCTTTGTTTGATTTTGTATTATTTTTTATACTATTTTCTCACTAATTTTCGTACACTTTTAGCATGCATTAAAATAGCGAACGACGAACACCGATTAAAGAAGACACGGCAAGCTCACCGTTGTTGTTGTTATTATTGCTATTGTTGTCGTCGTCGTTGATTTCACCCGACTGGCTGCCTTTTATCTGTCAACGGTCTAAGCGCGCCAAAGATTCGTGCCAACTGCTCAACCCGAGACGCCATCAACAACTGAGCAAGAGACCTGATGCAGCTTTTGAGTCGAGCTTGCGAGCAGCACAAGCAGCTGTTTACAGCAAACAGCAGAGAAAGAGAGAGAGGGATAGGGAGCAAGAGCCAGAGAGAGTGCGAGCTTTTGTTATGCTCTTTGCATTGAATTCACAATAGGAGCGTGATAGATCGTTTTGCAGCTTGTGTTCGCTTTTTGACATTAATTAGAGTGATGTTATCTAAAAACAAATCCAGAGCCGCATTGTTCTAAAACGGAAATTGTATTAAATGGAGATGTGTATGCACGTACAATTATATTAATTAATCAGATACATTGGGAATATAGTTTGGCTGAGACAAAATACAGAGTCACAATAAAACTGAATTAAATTTGTTTCTAAAAGTCATTCTTTATTTAACTTTTGCTATTTGTGCAACTTACTTTCATCTAGAATATACATTCAATAGTTCAATTCATTAATTGGGGAGCATAATTTGTCAGAGCTAAGATATACATATTCTTGAGACGTGTATAGGGTAACATAAGGGTTCTACAAATAAATAATATGCAAGAGCTATTTTCATATATTATGTGCATGGAATATATGAATTCAATTGAACCCAATATTGTATATACTCATTCACTAAGTGCAAAGATTATTTACAAGATTTTGTAAAATATCAATTTTGATGACATGGTTAGCATGAGCTAGAATAATTATGTTTATATTATTTAAATGAATAAATTTTCCAAGAATTAAAAGTGTTAGCATCAAATATGTAACACGAGCTTTAACAGTTTACCCCTCATATTGAACCCCTCATATTGAAAATCCGTGCACTTCAAGTGCTGTATCAGTAGCTTTATTTAAAATTTATTACAATTCCCAAAGCACGAGCTTGCGTTGAGGCATATCAGCAGAATGAATGATCTCTGGCACCCTTCGAGCTGTCAGCAACAGTTCATTGCCTGGCCTTATATATGTAAGTAAATTAATCAATACACCATTACCATCAGGTCACATTTGATTGATGACGCCTCAGCCTAGAGATTTTATGGACACTGGCGAAGGCAGCGAGCGCCCATGGGAGATGCTGAGGTCCTTGAAGACTTCCTTAGAGAGGCTGCTGCTGGCAATGGAAGGCAGCTCTATGATGGAGACTGGCTCTTTGGCTGCGGGTACCATCTGCTGCGTCCTCAACTTCAGTTGGCAGCGCCAGGTGACGTGGAGGCCAAAGCAAAGACCACGAGCCGCCTGCTCTGGCGCCTCGCTGGGCATGGGAGCATCCGACTCCAAGTTTGCGGCACGTCCGCAGCAGAGTAGCCGGCAGAGCATGAGCTTGAGCTGCGACAGCACTCGAAGCGTCTGGGGCAGAAAGGTGTAGAAGAGCGGATTCAGGGCGCAGCTGGTCAAATTGAGCAGCCCGAAGCTGAAGTAGAACATCCAGGACAAGGGCGAGGAGAATGACCCGTACACGCGCATCATCAGGAAGATCCAGGCGGGCAGGCGCAAGCAGATAAAGGCGCCCATCATTAGCAGCACGACCTTCACCATGCGACGATGCCGCGCCACACGTGCCACAGCCGCAGGAGTCATCTTTCTCTCTTGCTGCGGCTGCTGCGTCATCTGCGCGGCGCTCGTGTGAACGCAGGCTGCCACGCTGAAGGCGCTCATTACGGCGTAGGCGGTCTCCCGGTTACCCAGTGGGTAGTCAAGCCACATCGGCTGCTGCTGCTGCTGCCTTTTCAAGCTGCGCAGCTGATGGCGGCGCTGCCACAGCTGCTGCGCAATCGTCACGTGAAGAAAGATGAAAGCCACAATGCAGGGCACAAAGACGAGGCTGAGTGTGACTCCGTTGTAGATGCCGACCTGAGTCTGGGGGCACGAGCAAATGGAAATTAATGAAAGTGAATCAATAGATTTTCCGATTAGATAGGAAACACATGTAAACAGCATGTAAGGCTAGTACGCAGATCAGATAATAAAAGCACGCCAATGAGTGGACGGCGCTGCTACACCTACAATTATGGCCAGCAACTGTCGAATATCTGTTCTAGACTGTGAAGTTCAGTGTGTTTAATATATATATATATATATTATGAAGCCGCATCTCATAGCTAAAGGGTATAGTTTTAGTTGAATTCTACAGTACTGCGATAGGATAGCAATAATCTAATATATATATATACATATATTTATTTTGAATGTAATATTGTTTTGACATGCTCGTGGAACCTCTTAAAAGATTATATATAAATACTATATATATATGTATATATATTTTCACTTCAGTTGTTTATACCCTGAAGCGATTGAAAAGCCATTGACAGATCCCATTGTGTCTATATATTCTTGATATGGGCCTGTTTCGCTTCTTTTTATACCCTGAACCCATTGAAATCATATCGAATTTTTCTCCCAAAATCGATAACTACTCCCGATGTTTGGTTATCGATTAAAAGCCTTATCGAACACTAGGTTTTTAATTATATCTTATACCTTTGGAGCTACAGTCTCCAAACTTGAAATGTATACTTATATGTATTTAATACAATTTCGATTTCGATGTAATTTAACCTCCACCCCCTCATCCACGTATTTCAAATATTATGTTATGATCACGATCTACAAGTTTCATGGAGGTAGTCCATCGACAAGAAAAGCTATTAAGCAATTAAGTTCCCATGCGTGTTTATGCGTGCATGCCTATGTGTGTGATTCTTGTGTAAGCAACTTGTTTACTATTTTATTGTTATCGACTAATGTTAAGATGAAGATTTGCAAATGATTCATATAGGTACTCTATATATAGATATCCTTAATAGGGCTTATTAAACAAAGAAATTCTCATACTATAGCAAATAAAATAGTTTAAGCAAAATCGATGAATATGTGTGTGTGTGCATGTCTTATTACTTGTGTATGCACAAACAAATGAAAACTTATTGGAATATTAGGAGTACAGGGAATCTCGCAGTCGAAGTCTCGGCTACAGCGCTCTCACATTTATTATTTGGAATTATTCCCGCGCATTGCATAGCCCATATTTTTTATTAACGAGGTAAATCTCACTCACCCTTCTGCCCACGCACATCGTCACCTGCTGTATTTCGCTCACTATCAGCTCGTCCGTGGTCTGTATGTAAACGCGGATCGGCCTGTAGATGAAGAAGAGAGGGACTGCCACGCCCATGCAGGCCAGCCAAATGCCACCGATGCAGAGTACGCAGAGTAGCCAGTGGGGAGTCCAGATGCCAACAGCCGCGCGCCTTATCGACATATAGCGATCCAGCGCAATGGCCACGAGCATACAGCTGCTGCACAGCACTGTGGTAGTGTTGACAAACGGGATAAGGTAGCACATGAAGGGGCCAAGGATCTAAAACAGAAACATTCAGTCGAAACTCGGAGAGGATTCAATGGGAGCTAAGGGTCGCACCCAGTACTCAAGGTAGTCCGCCCGGAATAACGCTATGTTGGAAGTGGTGAAGTTGATGCAGTACATGAGGTCGCTGCAGGCCAGCGAGATGAGGCAGGCGCGGAAGAAGGGTCTCAGCTTCCTGCTCGAATTCACATACAGCGCACTTAGGTTGCCCACAAGGGTGCACACGAAGAGCACCGAGACCAGGAACAGGAAGATGTAGCGTGGCGTGCTGTGTATCTGGCACAGGTCGCTTGCATTCAGCAGCGGTTGGAACTCGTCCGATGTGTCGATGATTAGCATTCGCGATGCCATTTAAGTTCCGCCCGAAAGTATGCAACACAAAAGGTTTAGCTGCCCGTGCGTCAATCAGGGCGATTGCTCAGGGACTGACAACTGAAATATCTGACAGCAATTCGCCTTGTGGCAGGCACCTGCCACCTGCTACTAGTGTGTGTTGAGCGTTTAGCTAATGATTATCACCAGCTATCGTCGACCGTTATCAGTCGCTTAGCAGCGCAGTTGATTGCTATCGGCTGTCGCAAAGGTTCGCATCGCCGGAACTCACACGCGAGCGACTGACCACGCTGATATAGCGCCAGATGTCAAATAAATTTATGTGCATAATAACGCATATCTTTACATAAATACTTATACGTATATAAATAAATATAATAGCCTGCGGCTCATTCGCTTGGTTCACATTGTAAATAATTGGGCAATCACACTGATACCATCGCAAATCACATTGCAATGCCTTGCAATGGTCAACAACTGCTAAAATAAAAGCGCGGTGTTTTGCTTATGTTTTATTATTCTGCCGAACAAAAAATGTATAGGAGAGTATTTTATTTGAGGGCTAGACACCTTCGGACTTCTAGCGCTAGACTGCTGGATGAGGTTTTCCAATAAAAAGCCGAACAAAATTCAGGTGTTAACTTCGATTATATTGAAAAACATTAGCTTTTCATTCACACAGATACAAGTAAGAACGTTGCAGTCCGGCGTTACCGACTGCGGAATACTCATTCACATCCCATCAATAATTTTGTAGTTAAATTTCGCTCTAATACTGTAGAAAATATAAAATTTCAGCGCTCTAGCTGTAAAACTCTTGGGGATACATTTTTTTTATCCGATTTTCCACGCCCCCAATGGGCGGAGATATATCTGCCATAGACCTACATACCAAATTTCAGCTTTCTAGCTTTTCAATTAACATGATTTCTGGTATATCGGAAACTGCATTTTCCGATTTCCCACGCCCCAAGTGGGGCCCCCACACTTTATAATTCGGAGATATACACGAGTATGTGTACCAAATTTCTAGTCTCTAGCTTCAATAGCGCCGAAATAGATTGCGTTCATACGGACAGGCGGACGGACAGCAAGACGGACATTGCACAAAACCAATATACTAATTCACTTTCGTGAATGAGTATAATAATTCACTTTCGTGAATGAGTATAAAAACAGACGCAACGGCGAAAAGCCTTAGTAATATATATGTACCTTATATGTGCCTTAGAGGTTTACGGATAACTTCTCTTATACAGTCCTCATTATACTCTTTCACGAAGGTAAAAGAAGTATATTGTCTTGGTTCAATGTCCGCTTTCCTGTCCGTGTGTCCGTATGAGCGCAAATCAGCGTTTGAGCTGTGAATTAGTATTCTGTGGGCAGTACGCCCGACTGCACCCTTATTACTTGAATTCTGTTAATATTGTCTGATCACATTAGACCCTAAATAAGGATAAAATGAACTTGTTAAAACGATGCTCAAATAAAGTGTCGATCTAGAGCTGAGATTTGCACTACTCTAATTCTAATCTAATTCGGTTTAGATTTGCTGGATTCGAGCTTTCCGCATAGCTTACACAGAAGGCTGTTAGCTTGACAAAAATTCTTTTCGATGAAAAATTTTTCCGTTCGATAGTGAAAATTGAAAATTAATTGAATGTAAAAGTCTACACGACTACTCTAAAACTATCAGGGGTATAATTATATATAATATATACATATACAACTGTATACCTATACATTAGTGAGTTGACATTTCCTAAGATGGCCGCATTCTTCAGCTAAACATTTATGGGCGAGCTCATTTTCTTCAGTTCATATTCGGACGAAAGAGACAGAGAGAGAGAGAGAGAGAAAGAGAGAGAGAGTTAAACCCTTGTTGATACTAAAGTACTCATATATCTATCTACATTTTGCGAGACTAAGACTCAGATATCGTTACTCGCCATTAAAGTAGCGAAAGTGTGCTTAGCTTATGCTTATATTAGAATAACTTACATTTGTATCTCAATCTAAATATATAAATTATTTGCTTTAAAGTTTTGTTTTCACTGATTTCTTTATTCATACAATATAATTCGGCGAATATTTCGAATATGCATTGGCGAATTGTATAACTACTTAGCACTTGTTATTGTCCATTAGTGTATAGTTTGCTTTATAAAGGTTTTTTGTTTTTAATCATGAGTTCGTGATTCGCTCAAGTCACTTCAAAAAATACATAGCGTACATTTATGGCCATTATTTGTATATATAGAGATTCTTCGTATATTTATGCTTACCTAAATTATAATTAGTATACATTAAAAGTATGTAACGGTAAACTTAACTTAACAGCAAGAGCTTATGCATAAATTTAAGCTAAATTAAAAAATTATTGCAAGACTTAAACAATGAACATCGAAAACAACCGTAATTAAAACAAAAAAAAAAATTTTTTTTTAAACAATAATTAAACTTTAATTAGGAAAATACTTGGAATTTGTTGGCACAAAGGCATCCACGGCCACGCCCACTCACACACACTCTTATATTTGTTTGCCTAAATTATAGTCTTTTAAGCTTATCGCAAAAACCCGCATAGTTATAGTAAAGTATGGTATTGCATAATTTCATTTAGTGTAATTTAGTTTAGTTTAGATCTGTTTTGTTTAGTGAATTAGGTAGCTTTATAACGACGGATAGTTTTTCATTTGTTTCTTCATGTATATCGATAGGCGCATTGCGCATACGCACAGTTAGCCCATAGCCACGCACGTGTGGCGCTACTCGTACTCGGACTGATCCTGCGAGTCCAGCTCCAAGCACTGGCTGCCCATGTGCACGGTCAGCGTCTGATACGGCAGCGGCTTGCCTATGCTTAGGTTGGCGGTGACATAGATCAAGTAGCTGTCTCCGGGCGTCAGGCTGAGTATCGTCTCTGTCTCTAGCTTGTCCACATTGCTGGGATTGAAATAAAAATACAAGTTAAGCGATCGAAGTGCCATTCGACTGTCCATTCGACTGCTTACCTCGGCAGCTTCTCGCGGCAGCGAATGTACTTAAAGCTCTTGTGCTGCGTTACCCGCACCGCTCCAAAGTCCATGCAGTAGTTGGTGAACTCCGCAACGCTTCGCTGCGGCAGACTAAACACAATCACGCAGTAGCTATCGCACATGATAATACAGATACATGTTATAAACACGTTAAATAATATTACAAGAAATTATTCAATATAATAAAAATGCAAGCGTTAAAGAACAGGCCTCTTAGCTTTCCCATTGCACTGTATACCGACAGTGTAGAATGCCTCGGTTTTCACGCTTCATTTGAGTGAACCTATCTATGCAAGTGTTACGAATCGGTACAAAGGTGGAGCAAGCACAGATTTTGATAAGAATATTTCATTTCATTTAACCCGTGACGACAGGTCGGCTTGCCCCAAATCATAACCAAATATAACCTACAATATTATTCGACTGAAAGATGCTCTAAATTTAAAAACTTGATATGAAACCCGACTACATTTCTAAGCCAAGGGACCACACAGTCAGCTTTAGCTATAGTTAGTCTTCCAAACTATAAATATAATAAATATATATAATAAATAAATAAATAAATGAATATATATGCAAATAAATCAACAACTAAGAAAGTTCTAGTCGAGTCTGCTCGACTACGAGATCTTCCGAACCCTTGGAGAAACTGATATTCCAATAATTCTTGGCGTCTTTTTGCTTACACAAGGAAACACACACTCTCACAGGAACACATAAACACATAAGCATGCAGTATAAACGCGCATGGGCTGCAGAGTGGGCTTACTATGGGAACTCAATTGCTTAATAACTTTTCTTGTCGATAGACTATCTTCATGAAACTTTTATATCGTGATTATAACATTAAAAAGCGTGCATGTGCTAAAGCAGAAGTCTCTAGTATCTGAAATACGCATCTTACAAATATAAGAGCAAGGGGGTGGATATTATTGGCTAAATTAAAACAAAACCTGAAATTCTATAAAATACTTGTAAATCTACATTTAAAATCTGGAGATTCTATCTTAAAAGATGTGGGAAACATAATTAAATAACTTATCGATAAGAGTAGTTATCGATTTTTTGAGAAACGCTCGAAATACACGTGATATACATAGACCTAGGAAAAATATTTCAAGCCTCCAGATCTTATATCTTCTGAGATCGACGTGTTCCCATTTTCAATGGGTTCAGGCTATAATAATAAAGTCTAAAGATTGCAGCTTAGTCGAAAGTATAATAATAATATAATAATAATAATGTTGTCTTTTAAGTTGATCAATGATTATACAAAGGGAATTACTATGAAAATATATATTACGAATGTAAGACAGTAAGAACCATTTCAACGAAAATGAGTTAAGTGCAAATATATTGATTTAAAATTAAAGATTTTTATACCCTGAACCCATTGAAAATGGGAAATCAAGGTATAATGGTTTCGTAAAAAGTATGTAGCAGGCAGAAAGAATCATATGCTTGATCAGGGCGACGAGCAGAGTCGATATAGCCCTGTCCATCTGTCCGTCCGCCCGTCCGTCCGTCCGTATGAGCAGAGCCGATCTCAGAAGATATAAGAGCTAGAGAGATGAAATTTGGCATGCATACTTGTGTATGCCATAGGCAAAACAAGTTTATCTTATTTTTTCTATAACTCGTTCGATAACTTTTTTATCGAGAATAATCGAAAAATCGACAATAATTTTTTTTAGCCTTATTTGAACACGTTTAGATGTGGAAATTTTCGTTGTATTTATCAAATTGTAAAAAACGTATTTCTAGTACTAGAGACTTGTGCTGTGGAATGCATACACATTCTGACCATAGAGTTTCGTAAAGATAGTTCATCTACAAGAGAAGTTATTCAAATAATAAATTATTATAATATTGCTCACACTGCCGCGCAGCGCAGTTGGCAGAGCGCGTGCTTATACGTACGTGTGGAAGCATGTGTATTTATGTGTGTATAAAAGAAGTGTAGAATGAGTAGAATATCAGCTTGGAGGGTTCAGGGTATCTTCTAGTCGAGCAGTCTCGACTGTAGCCACCTTACTTGTTTTGATTAACTCTATGGAGATTAGGTCAACGACTGAAAAAATTTGTGCAAATATTTGTGCTGCTGTTAATTTGCCAGTCAAAAAACCTATATACGATTAGGTGAACATGTTCATGAATAATACTCCAATATAGGAAATATATGTTTTCGAATAAGAAAGACAAAGTCTTCGAGAGTGCGCTCCCTCTCTCTGCAGCACTATACATTAGTATGATCGCGGTATATGTATTTGAAATAGGAGCCAAACAGTACTTGTATTCTAGAAAGCAGTTCTATCCAATTCTTTCAGGAGCCAATGATTTTACCGGATATCTTAACTTTGAAAATGGTTATACTCTATCAGAAATCAGCTGGACCTACCTCAGGGCGCGCTCGTCTGGCGATCCGTGCCATGCAATTGTTACGCTGGTGCAGCGCGTTCGGACATTAAATACCGTTATGTTATCTGGCAGCTCCGGCAGGTCGCGGAAGAGGCGGTCCGTGCTGATAGCCAGCTGCAAGAGATAGAAGAGAAGGAATTGAACATAACGAAAACTCTGGGCCCTTTCGGGCATCGGATGCTGACGACATACGCGAACTTTCTGGGCTCGCAGCGCCTCGTCCTCGTTGCTGGGTTGGAAGCGCATCAGATAGCGCTCGCCAGGCTGCACGCCCTCCAACTTGATGTAGGTGGGCAAGTAGATGTTGCCCACGTTGGCCACCTGTCGGTGCTGGCGCAGAAGCTTCACTCGTATCTCGCTGCCGGCACAGGGCAGCAGCAGGTAGCGCATGAAACTGGGCGGTGGTGAGGTCGCGGGCACCTTATAGCTGTACACCTGGACGCCATGCAGACCCCCGATCTTGAGCAGCGCCAGCGCGTGCTGCCGCAGCTCCGTTGGATGGGTGCGGTTGAAGTGCACCTGGACGCTGGCCAGGCCCAGCGTCAGGTTCTGCAGTCGCTGGTGCACGCCGAACAGCTGCAATCTGTAGCTGCTGTTCGGCTGCAGTCCGCGCAACTGCTGCTGTGTCCGGGCGCCGGTGCAGACAATGTGCAGCCGGTGCTGCGGATTCAGGTGACGCGCTCGCTTCGGCGCCCTTGACCATACCAGGTCCCAGCTGCTGCTGGCGCCCGGGCACGGCCCGGCAGAGCCTCGCGAGTGCGTCTGCTGCTGTCGCGTGTAGGCGTATACGGCTTCGCAGAAGCTGTGGAAGTCCTGGCCGGAGTTGGTGGCGCTGTCGACTCGGTGAACCACCAGGCAGTAGTGCATGGCATGGTAATCAAATTTACTGTGAAGATTGTGAAAGTGAAAGAAAAACTGATTCAGAAACTCAGAATTCGATTTACATATTTGCATATCATCCATCATAAGAGACTACGTCATATAATATATTGTAGGGTAACATGCTATAATATTATAATATAACATATTTGTATATTAAAATACAATTCAGCTATAATATCATCATAGGAGACTACTTAATATACAGTACTTATATGGAATACTTAATATTGACTACTTATTATACAACACTCATAGGTCTAGCTGTGCATGAAGTAATCTACATAAATTAGTAAATGAATAGGGGTCAATAGGTCAACTGAATAATCATGTGCAATCCTTTCCCTTTCTCAACGCTATGTTTAACCCACCTGCGCTCCCATTTGACGATCAGCTGACGCTTGCGCACTCGGTTCTGGGTGCGGATGGCGATGCGATGGGTGTGATTGAGCAGGGGCCACGACTGGTGTGGGTGCTTGGCCTGGGCCTCCAGCTTGAGGGCGCCGGCCTGGCGTGCCTGCACGAAGAGATCGTATTGACCGCGCAGGGCGCAGGGCAGGACCAGCCGGCCCAAGGTGGGGCCCTTGGCGGGCGCGGCGAGGCGCAGCAGGTTTGCTGCGAATGCAAATGCGGAGATCGATGCAGATGGCAGAGGATGGAGGGATGGGAAGATGCAAGCTTACCTGTCTGATTGTAGAAGAGCTGACGTGCCACGGGCATCGAGAAGAGAATCGTCAGCGGCGTCGAGTTGTTCAGCTGCAGCACAAATCTGCAAAACAAGACGCAAAACGAGCGGGTGAAGTGGTGCCGAGTGCTGCCAAGTGGGCCGGAGTGGGGCCGAGTGGGGCGGAGTAAGTGAGCTGTTGACGCCCTTTGTCAAAAATCATGACACTAAATTATCGCATGCAATTTGTCTCGCCTGTGTCCGAGCGAGTGAGTCAGCGCCTTTGGCAGCCGGCGCTGCAACAAAGTTGCCGTCGCGGCGTGCAGCTTTCTGCAGCTACAACATGCATGTACTCACATATATTACGTATAATATATACATATGTATATACTTATTCCGTTCCAGCGGCTGCCCCAGCCCCAGCCCTGGCCATTCGCTGTGCCAAAAGCCTTGCTTTGTAATTAAATGCTTAATTTATGAGCAATATTTCTAATGACAAAGGACCAAGACAAATGAGCCACAGTTAAGGGACTCCCACACACGCGCAGACACACAGACACACAGACACACTCATACACACGCGTACATATACAAAGAGCCGAGAGGAATCTCGATTGCGGCCAAGTGACTCATTGACTTGGCTTATGGCCGGCCATCTCAAGTTTTATGAGCCGCTACTTCCGGCTAACGCCATTTGCCAATAGAGCCACGCCCCCGCTCGCCCGCCGACATGCTCCCACATGGCCAGCCAGTTGATGGAGTGCTTTAATGCACTCCATTGTTGGCGGCCATTTTCGACTGGCGACGCGGCGACTGCACAAATATTTGCTTTAATTTGCGCCTTGCATGTTTCAGCTGCAGTTGCAGTTGCAGTTGCAGTTGCACTTGCCCTGGCACTTGCAGTGGCAGTCGCAGGCCTTTCGTGCTGTTATTGCAATTACTGCTGTTGGTATTGCTGCTGCCTGCCGATGACAGCAGTCAATTATATAACGCAAACATCATGCTGTGAAAGCTGAAGTCCTTCAAGCTCTTGTCGAATTCAGAATGCCCTAATCGAGCGTGGAGCTATATTATATTATAAAAATATTTCAATTTGCGATCCTATTCTGAGCAACAATTAGAACTAATTCTGCAAATGGCTCATCTTTTCTTAGAGCATTATAAATATTTATATTTATATATAATGCAAATAGAGAGTGCCAAGGTATTTGATTACAGCAATTACATATGCATCCATATATTACTGTTACCCAATGTTTAGCAAGAGTCTTCAAGGTTGCACTGTATGGTCTTGGAGTCTGGGACTGTGGAATATATAGGGTATTTTCGAATGCCAGAGCGTAAAGGGTGTCGAGTTTCGAGCATAGAGCACAGGGCACATGCATGTCGATATGGCTGCAGCTGGTCAGCCCACAGCAAACAAACCACCATGCGAAGAGTTGGCTTGGTTCAGTTGGTTGTCCATCGTTCAGTCAGACGAACACAGAATGCGGCCAAATGTTCCGAAAGTGGCGCAACGGCGACTGCACTTGCTAATGTGGCTGCTGCAGCTGCCAATTGGTGGTCAGGGCATAGTAAATCCGTCGAATGAGTCAGCCAATATGGTTGTCTACATGCTGCCCGCGGGGGATGTGGGCCCGCGCACCTGGCAGGTGGGCGTCGACTGCCTGGACAGCTTCTCGCAAATCTTCTTTTATCGGAACCCGCTGGAACGCTTCACGCGCTCTTACAACCTGATGCTGACGAATGTGTTCAACATGACCCTGCCCGCCGATCTCATACAGCAGGGCTTCAGCCAGCGCATCAACGAGGCCATCAGCGACCCGGAGCCGCACCCCGACAGGCAGCTCTTCCAGCTGCGAGTCATCTCCGATCACTTGAACACCACGAAGTTCTTCGGCGAGCTGCTGCTGGCGGACAACTACGTGATTGTCGTGGACAGTGTGGAGCGCCTGCACATGCTGATGAGTCACCACGTGAGCAAGAGCCGCTCGTGGAACCCTGGAGCTCGCTTCCTGGTGCTCTTCAACAATGCCCAGATGTGGGAGAGACCCTGGACAGTCGCCTCGCAGATCTTCAACGATCTGATGAGCAACTTCTACGTGCACCGTGTGGCTCTCATCTTCTCCGACTCCCTCTCCAACTACAACCTCCTGGTGAACGACTACTACAGCAACGTCGATTGCCGGGTGCTGAGTGTCCAGAGCGTGGGCCAGTGCAAGGACGGCCAGCTGTTCCCTTCGGCCCATGCTGTCCACGTCGCTATGTCGGACTACATCAGTGGCTTCAGCCCGAAGAACTGCACCTTCTACGTATGCGCCGCCATCGCGGCGCCCTTCGTCGAGGAAGACTGCATCTTGGGCATCGAGATGCGAATCCTGGGCTTCATGCGCAACCGCTTGCAGTTCTTGGTGGGTAATCAATTCTTATTATCTGGATATACTCACATTCCTCCTCACTAAGGGTATTACTGCCTTCTTATATAATTTCCTCAGCCATTGGAAAATATAAGGAACAATAATCTCGAAGGATAGCTTATTTCAAGGTGAATTTGATCTATTTGAAAAAAATTTAAGATCCATTCAACAATTCGAAGAACTCGTATATTTCAGCAACAATGCGATTCAGTTCAAGGGCATTCGAAAGTATTTGTGCAGGATGGGGACACCATGGAAACATTTATAACTAAAAGAATAAACATTTTAAATGAAATACGCCATGCTCGAAACGGGTATAAATTCACCTCAGAGTTCAGCAAGTTGCTATTCATCTGGCCCTTCTATACACTCTAGGTATCCCCCACTACTGGGGAGGTACTCAGAGAAACTGCCTGAGCCTCTCACATGCACAACACTTTATTCCCTTTATGCCAACATTTACATCTATATAATATTGACATATTCTATAGAACTTGCAAAGAGCAAACAAGTAAGAAGGCTCCAGTCGAGACTGCTCGACTAGGAGATACCCTGAACCCTCCAAGCTGATATTCTAATCATTCTGCATTTCTTTTATGCACACATACATACACACGCATCCACACGTACGTATAAGCACGCGCTCTGCCAACTGCGCAGTAGGCAACGGCTGCGCTGCAATGTGGGCAATATTATGGGAATTTATTTGTTGAATAATTTCTTTTGTAGACATACAATCTTAATGAAACTTTTAGAACGTAATCATAATGTTCAAATGTATGTACATTCTAAAGCACAAGTCTCTAGTACTTGAAATGCGTTTTTCCCAAATTGGGGGCGAAGGGGGCGTGGTATCCAAAATCTGTAAATGACAAAATCTATGTATCCATTAACTTTATATACAACGTAAATTTGAAGTCTACAGGTCAAAAAGTGTTCAAACTAGGCTGAAAAAACCAAGTCGATTTTTCGATTATTCTCGATAAAAAAGTTATCGGATGAGTTATCGAAAAAATAAAGCAAACTTGTACTGCCTATGGTATACACGAGTATGCATGCCAAATTTCAGCTCTCTAGCTCTTATATCTTCTGAGATCCTTTTGCTCATACGGACGGATGGACGGACGGACGGACGGACAGACGGACAGGGCTATATCAACTCAGCTCGTCGCGCTGATCAAGAATATATATACTTTATGGGGTCTGCGATGATTCCTTCTGCCTGTTACATACTTTTCACAAAACCATTATACCCTGATTTCCCATTTTCAATGGGTTCAGGGTATAATAAAAAAAAATTTTAAGAAAATTAATATTTTGAATAGGAGCCTCTAAAAATGTGAATTTATGATGAATATGAAACTCCTTCCATATATAAGGTATGCTTTACATATATGATTTCTTCTTAAGAATTCATTGAAATTAAAGGCTTATTGTCTCTCATGTAGAATTGTTTGCTCGATTCTTAACGGACAATTGCTTGATTATCGTGTTTATATGCACTTTGTATAATTGCAAATTGTCTATTCATATTCATATTCTCTACTAGCAGGATGGACATTGCGCAAAACCAATATACTCTCCACAATTTTCAGAATGAGTATTGAGAATCGCACGTTTCGTTGTAGGTGAATCAAACATGCACTCGAGACACGCGAGGCGAGGTGGATGAGGTCGGCAAATGGAATGGCCTGCTGGGCAAATTGGAGGACGGCGAGTGCGACTTTATCATGGGCGGCTTCTACCCGGACAACGAGGTGGTGGGCATCTTCTGGGGCAGTGACTGCTACCTGCAGGACGCGCACGCGTGGTTCACCAAGCTAGCGGACCGTCGGCCCGCCTGGCAGGCCATGGTCGGCATCTTCAGGCCGTATACCTGGATATGCTTTCTGCTGGTTCTGCTGCTGAGTTGGCTATGCTGGTACGCGTTGGTGTGCCTCCTGCCAGAGCCACAGTACTTCCAGCCGCTCAGCTTGACGGGCATCAATGCCTTGGCGGTGTCCATATGCATATCAGTGCAGGAGCGACCCGTGTGCGAGTCGACGCGCGTGTTCTTCGTGATACTGGCGCTCTACGGAGTGAATGTGGTGGCCGTATACACCTCGAAGATGATATCTACGTTCCAGGACCCGGGCCACCTGCACCAGATGGACACGCTGCAGGAGGTGGTGGCTGCGGGCGTACCCTTTGGCGGCGTGGAGGAGAGTCGCGACTGGTTCGAGAACGAGGAAGACCTGTGGATATTCAAGGCATACAACTCCTCGCCCGAGTTCAGGCCGCGCACCCAGAACCTGAAGAACGTGCAGCAGGGCCAGCGCAGCATTCTGAGCAGCCGCATGTACATCATGCAGAATCTCTATGCGGACGACATCTACGCCTTTCCCCAGAACGTCTTCGTCAGCCCCATGCAGCTGATCATGAAGGCGGGCTTCCCCTTCCTCTACGAGATGAACATGATCATTCGCTACATGCGTGATGTGGGCATCATTCACAAGATCGACTCGGACTTCCGCTACAACAACACCTATCTGAACCGCATCTCCAAGATGCGCCCGGACTTTGCAGCCACCGTCATCGTCTTGACCACGGAGCATTTGAAAGGTCCTTTTGGCATCCTGATCGTGGGCATCTGCAGTGCCATGCTGACCTTTCTCGGCGAACTGCTCTGCGGCTACAGAAGCCACAGGCGTCGACAGCGACGCACCAGGCGACGCAGCAAGTGGCGCAGGGAGCGGCAGCAGCTGCACCGAGCGGTGGCTCCGGTGGTGCGCTTCACGCCCGTTAAGCGCCGCAAAGTCCTGTAAGCAAGGAGCCGCCCAGGCAGACAAAACAAGCCAACTAGCTTCGCCATAAAAATTTACTCAATTCACATAAATTTGCAATTTGCAATTGAAGGAACTCAGTGACAGCATCAACAACGACCACGACTACGTCCATGTGGCTATGACTCTTGGGGTCGTCGTTGTCTTCTTTGTCGCGCAGTTGCAGTTGTTGTTGTTGTTGGCTTCCTTGTCTGGTCTGGTCGCGTCTGGTAGTTGTAGTTTTCACGCGAAATACTTAAAATCTGAGACCAAATTCTATTTTTGCAACTATCAAAAGGGACGGCATGAAAAACAAGGAGACAGTCAGGCAGGCAGTCAGTTGGTCTGTTGGTCTCCGGTCTCCGGTCTTCGGTCTGGCTCTCGCTTCCTTTACTCCCTCTCTGCACAAATTGACAATCAACTCTGAATGAATGAATCTGCCAGTGCAAATAAACCGCGCGCTCTACTGTCGCTGATAATATTGTTATAAGTAGCATATTTACCCACTCTCGGCCCAGTCAGAGTCAACTACCAAAATAAAGTTCGCAAAATACTGCTGGCAAAATAATGAGAGCTATAAAAGCTGAAGACCAAAACTTTGCGCTTACAACTTTACCACTTCACGATTTTTTATCCAATGCGTACAGATTAGCGATAGAGCGACAAAAAATACAAATAAAAGTACATTAAATATATTAAATTAGAGATAAAAGAATGAAATGATTTCACGCAACATCAACAACAACAAATCAGCTTAGAATTAAAAAAAAATAAATCACTCGGAACTTTTTTTTTTATCATATTCCGCTTCACTTACGGCTCTTCACTTAACTGATTAACTGATTCAAGAATAGCTAAATATTTTCAGTAAGACTCCTAGGCATAGACGAGCAACCATGGGTAATCGGTCAATGTTTGTAGAGCTTGTTTCAGGAACCCTTTCAAGGGCAGCCATGAGCCCAAACTCAATGAAAAATCAAGGCGTTGGCCAACAAACATATTTGAGCAGGACTAACTCTGGGTTCCCCCTAAGATTGGGGCCAATCAGCAACAGTTGCTGATTTAGATTTACAGCAAATTTAATATTCATTTCCGTTATATATGGATCAAAAGTATTTCTAATTTAAAATGTGCAAAATAAAATTATTAAACTGCGAGAATAAAAATTAATGAAATTATTCTTAGAATTTGCTGTCAGTGGCCACAGCTTGTGCCACGTGTGAATGATTCAAGCAATGCGCATCGTCCGAACTCTGAAATAAACATTCACATTCGCATTCGCATTCGTCTTTGCGTTCACATTCACATTCACATTCACATTCACACTTACTCGATTACTCACAGAACACTCGCCAAATGGGCACAGCACGCACTTAGTGACTCTCTCTGTATGTGTGTGTGTGCATGTGCATGTGTGTGTGTGTGTGTGTGTGTGTGTGTGTGTGTGTGCATGTGTGTTCATTTGAGTTTTCGTGAAATTTTAGACTATTGAACTATGGCGTTTCGAACAGCGTCTGATGGGCTGACTAAGCGACTAACTGCGTCTGTCTCGCCAGGCCGCGACGCCCAACTGTCTGTCTGTGACGCAGATGCAGATGCAGATGCAGTTGGGGATGCTGATGCTGATGCTGATGCAGTTGCCGTGGCAGTTGCAGTAGCTGCTGCGACAAGTCGGGCTAAAAATACGAAACTATGAGTTTATTTGAGGCAAGGCGAAAAAGTCGTCAAATGAAGGTCTGCGCAGTGCGCAGTTTGCTGGCTAAGAATTATGCAGCGCGTTTTTATGATCAAAACAATTTTTAGTTGTTTTTGCTGTTGCTGTTGCTGTTGCTCTGGCTGCTGCTGCTGCTGAGTTGCTGTTGTTGTTGCTATTTTATTGTTTCTTCTTTGATATGCTTACAAATAAATAGTTTCACGCCATAAAGCAGCGCATAGGATGGAAGCGTGGGCCATAAAAGTTGTTTACAACTTGAGCCTGCGGCGTACATAAAAATGCACCAACAACATCAATAACAACATCAGCTACAACACATTAACAACAATTTGTTGTTTTGCAGTTTGTTTTGATTTTCGGGCCACTGGCGAATTGTGCGTATGGGCTACAGGTGGTCAATGGTCCGCAACCGCGTGGCCCAGTCCTAGATCCCGTTCCCACTTGCCAGTGCTCAGTGCCCACTTTGAGTTTATCACTCATATGCTCTATACGTATGTATATGTATTATATATTTGCTTGTGTGTGTGTATCGAATTAAGCCGTTAAATTAATATTTACGATTTGTTTGTACAGAGCAATATTAACAAGCAACTGCAGTTGCGTCTTGATTGCGCCTGCGCAGGAATCGGCAACTAGCTCGCGTTTAGCTCCTCCTCCTGCTCCAGCCCTCCCCCAGATTGTGTGAGAGAGAGGTAAAGAGAGATCACTTAATTCTTGCCCAACTCTTAATGACTGCACGCGCCATAAATTTGTAGCACACATTTCGCTCCTTTTCACACGCTCCGCGAACATCGAGAGGAACACGAGAAGCGACACTGGATCCAGCTGGCTGCAGCCGTTGCTCGCAGCAATCGGAGCACTTGCAACTCTTGGGGCTATAGCGGCTTTTAGAACTGTGGGAGCTTGTCGCGCGACAATAAAACCAACAGAGCAATCTCACATAGAGCAGCAAGCGCTCACATTTATTTGAATGCTTGACATTCTATGCCAGCAGTGATCAAAGTTATTCGAACACGGCTCACACAGCCAACAGGCAACAGCCGAACATAAAAAGAAGTGAGACTGCTGCGGTTGAGTGCTACCGACTGCCCAATACATATTCAAATCGGTCCGAAATCAACTCGATATTTGCTAGCACCTAAAACAGGAGGGACTCGACAGAAACTGAACTGATCTATTTGGATAAGGAATACAGGGAACCTCAATACGATCCACTCCCTCAATAGGTTAGATCATCTGAGGATGGCTTATCTATATGTGGAGTCTAGACTAATGGAACTGTTCAATGTATGACCTCAGGCTCTAAATATATACTGCATACTTTTTTAAATGGAGTTTTTATTCACGAGTATATTCACAAAAGATGGTCGTTGCCGAAAACTAATATACTCTTTCAGTTCAAGAATAAGTTTAACAAAACCAACGAGTTTGCACGTTCTCAAACGAAATAAAAGCCAGAAATGTTTCAAGAAATTAGAGAGGAAAATTTAATTTCTGTATCGAATTTCGTATACTCTAGGCCAATCAGCTAAGAGTAAGCCCATTAAATTTAACTGTTGTAGTTTCTGTACACTATGATAGAGCTGGATACTATAAAGCATTGTTTAATAAGAAATGGAATTTGATAAGCGCCTATTTTTATATGAGAAATCACTTTATAAAAAACTAAGCCAATTTTTCGTTTGGGCTTAAAATAGTTTTATTAAAATGCATGCAAGGACGTCTGGAATATACAAAGTAAATATATTCTCGATCACGGCGACGAGCTGATTGGATGTGGCTTCAGAGCGTCAGAGCTTAAAAGTGCTAGAGACTTACTCTTCCTATCAATCCAAGAGTGGACTTTTATCACAATTCAATCATCAAATTATATCTACTTCATCTTTAGAGCTTGAGTCAATTTTATTTTGTTTACTTTAATTAAGGTCCCGGGAATATCATAGGACACCGCCTATAACGATTGCTTACTGGTGTCAATTTCATTGATTTCACTCTTGTAATCTTTATATATTACTTATAAACTGCCTGACTATGTAAATATGCCCAAGGTCAAGTAAGAGTATCTTAGTCGAGAAGACAAAATGCCTGCCAAGCGCGTGCTGAGCGAAAACGTGACAGCTTCTCTTGACCCAGGCCCAGACTCAAACAAGTGCAAAATACGACAGCTCTAGTGGGGAGGACCCGACTAGGAAATACTTTGGATGCCGATCTATCCGAGTCTTTAAGCTTGCATCTACACATATGGTAGTGCTATAGATTTGATAGTATGTGAATATAAATATATCTGAATCAATAAAATATGCAATTTAAATTCTCATTTCTACAATCAAATAAGTAATAGAATAAGTAATAGAATAAAGAATAATTTATATTTGAATCAAAGATGACAGGACTTCAGTGCTTCCTCGGGAGGAAGCAACTTCGACTCAGAAGATCCGGTTATCTATTTAAGAAAAATTCCACCAATTTGTATAATGAAAAACTCTCTCTACGATACTTACTGCATTACGGATAATGGATATCTGCTAATGAAAATTGAAAATGGAATATATTGAAAATGAACCTCAATCGAGCTATTTGTAAGCTCAACAAAATCAGCATACCCCGAATACGTGTTTATAATGTGTTCGACACCTAAAAAACCAGCCACATAACAAAAAACTTGAAAAAGTTGCTCATACGCCACGTGCAACGCGGCCACAGCTGTGGGCCTAGAAGAAGCACAAATACAAATACAAACGTGCACGCACACAACTTTGACGAATATATATATATGGCACACACACATGGCACACGCACATTGGCAATATTTATGGCAACTGTAAAAATCTGGCGCTGGTTTTTGTTTGGCCAGCCACACGTCGTGGTTATAAATTATTTTTGTTGGTTTCTATATTTTTCTTTCGCTAAATTCGCATACACCTCGCTCCCCTGGAGCTCCCTTGGAGATTGGAGTCTGGCTGGACGTGTCCTACTCGTCCTCTGGCTGGCGCATTTCGTTATTGTTTAGACATAATTTGATTTGTGTGACAGGCGGCGTCGCCAGCGCACTTAGGCGCATTACTCGGATTGCGGGCATACATAGGACATACGAGTCCTGGCTGGTGGGACTTACCGCTTCTTCTGGCGCTGCTCGAGTGCAATGTGTATGGGCACGTCCACATAGAGATCCTCGACGTCATCGATGCTGCCCAGCATCTTTTCGTAGGCCAGGCGCTGCGGGCAGCTGGACGGCGGCGGGACATACGAGTCCTGGCTGATGCGATTGCTGGCCAGCGGCGTATGCGCAATCTCTGCACTCAGCTGCACGAAGTCCTGCAGGAACAGCAACACCAGCGCCAGCACTTGCCCAAGCACAGGTCCCGACTGCCGTCGCATGTTTTATGTTCTCTCGCTTCTGTTACTTGATAATTTGGCTCTTAAGTTTTATGGCCCGTTAACGGTTCGTAATTGCCCTAAATTGAATTAGTTAAGAAATTTACTTGTTAGTTTCGGCTTTCAGTTGAGATTCAGTCTCTGTTTCAGTTTCAGTGTGTGTGTGCGTGGCTCTTTCTGCATGGGTGCACATTAGGAATCATAAATTGTGGATTTAGCTTTACTTTTAATATACTTTTCATTATCTACTTGCAGATGTATTAAAATCTTTTAGATTTATAAACTCAAAATTTCGTCACATTTTATATAGAATACACTTCCATAAACTTTTGTTGATATTCCAGTAGTGTGCAACTTTATTGAACCACAATGATTTAACTGTCTTGGAAATACGTATATTTATTCATGAATTACTGTAGAATGACTGGATCTTAAAACATATGAGCAAATGAGAGAGAAAATAGTTAAATACCAAATGAAAATATAAATTATTCTATTACCCAAAGATTTCCCTGCATTTGAAGTCAGGATATTAGAATTAAAAAAGACTTTATATATTGAACATCTGTTGTCGTGAGCCTAAACATAATTAACAGTTATTACTTTACACAGAATAAAATAGAAATTGAGCTTTAAAAAATTCACCGGCTACGGAATTTGTCTTTTTAAATCGATTCGATACTTTAGAAAAAATAATTTCTATCTGCTCAGTATATAAATTCGAAAGTCGAACTATGGAATCGAATCTAGGGAGTATGATATAAAAGTTGGGGTTCCACGATTCTCTCTTTGGGGTTTATTTGCCATACCTTATCTATCAGATGAAACTATCTATCTAGCTTTTAAGCTGTTGCTAATGTCAAAGCCTAACCCAAATGAACTTCATTTCTTGCTATAAATCATTCCCGTTGACTTTGCTAATCCCCCAAAGCTAAGCAATTGTTTTTGTTTTTTATCCGGCTGCTTTAACTCTTCTGCTTGGTCACTTCGACATCTTTGGGACCCCCATCAGCACAGCTTGACAAAACCAATGCCAACTCCCCCTCTCGCTACTGCTGCTGCCTACTGTCTGCTGCCTCATCTTCTTCTTGCTACAATTAAGGCCTGTCAAACCTTTGACACACGTCGCTGCTGCTGTTGCCATTGCCATTGCCTCTGCCTGTGACAACTTCTTTAGCTGACTGAAATGACTAAAAAAAAATAAAGGAAATCATTTTTGGCAGCGCAGCGCGGCAGCTTTTCAAGTGTTTGGCTTCGAGTGTTTTCTCCCTTCATTTAGTTCATCGGATGGGGCAGCCAATTAATTTTTTTGGCTGCACTGAATCAATTCCTGGAACTGTTAGATTTTGATAATTGCGGTCCACACGCCCCCTACGCAACATCTTCTTCTTGTTAGGGCTGTGCCTCGCGGCAATTAATGTTCTGCGAATTCGCGTGCGGCGCAGCAAGTGGGCAACGCTATCAAAGGCGACTGGGACTGCCCAAGCAGGAGTTGCCACCTGTTGTTGCCATGCTGAGCAATTAACGACACATGCGTCCCATAAACACAGGAACACATACGCATAGAGCACCCGCGCACACACATACACACATGCACATTCATAGCCACTAACAGAAACACTCACTTTGCTACAGTTTGGTGTTGGCAATTTTTTGAGCGCGCATCGTTTGTCTCGCACTGTGTTTTGTTCGTCCCGTT